TATATATATATATATATGTGTGAAAAGTGAATCTAAGGTGACACCTTAGATTCCCACCTAAGGACTCGGCCTAAAATCACACCATTCCCTAATTGTTTTTTCCGATTCGCTCCGTTGAACTTGATCTATATGTTCTTAAACCTAAACACACCAATTTTGGGGTGAGCCCGTTGTGTTTTATCCTTTCATCCACTCGCCGTAATTTTAACGGTTTTGAATGAATAGAACTTTTTGCACGGCTCAACGAAGGGTCAAAACACGATTGACTCACCCCAAAATTAGTGTGTTTGGGTTTAATCGTGTAGATCAAGTTCAACGAAACGGATCAGAAAAAACAATTAGGGAATGATGTGATTTTAGGCCGAGTCCTTAGGTGGGAATCTAAGGTGTCACCTTAGATTCACCTTTCCCCCAAAATCACCCCTTAAAAAGGTGATTTTAGGGGAAAGCTGCCAAAAAGCTAACATTTTTGGTAGCTTTCTCCTCTTTTACCACCCAAAAAAACATATCCAAACAGCCCCTTACTAGGTCCTCCAATTCTTAAGCTATTTTCAAATTAGTCCCTCATAATTAAAATTGTTGTAATTTTCAAATTAGTCCCTCATAATTAAAATTGTTGTTAGGTCTTTTGATTCGTATAAGCTATTAATTGTCCAAATCAAGAATAGACTTAGCAATTATAGTGATCTATTCGAAACAATCTACGAGAATTGTGGGGCACACGGAAAATGTCGATGTCCAAATTTAACAATTCTCATGTTTCTTTACATAATAAACAAATAAATTCCTCATTCACTAAGCTATTTGGGAACCAAATTGAAAATAAGCCACCAAAATAACCCAAAGAGCTTTCTCTGTATTGGTCCCTAAAATCACCCTTCAAGTCATTGAAATTATTGTTAGGTCCCCCAATTTTAAAGCTATTTTTGAAATTAGTCCCTCAAAGCATTAAAATTCTCAAGTTATATTGAAAATTAATCCTTCAGATCAAGAGCAGAATTAACAATTGGAGAGATCTATTTGAAACAAATTATGTCAATTGAGGGCTTAATAGAAACTTCAATATGGGACAACCATATGGTTTAAACGCCAGTGCAACGCATGGGCTCCCTAACTAGTTCCCTATGAAAGGCTTTTTCCAAGAGAATCTAAAAACCAGCATACAGATTTCACTCATCTTGATGACACTGAGATATCAATATACTGTAGTGGAGACAAAGTTGGAACTTGGAAGGCTTGAAGGCCTTATGATTCTTTTAGTCCCTTTACAGACACATTAGCAAACCTGCAGAAAGAGAGAGAATAGTATTGAATCATAGATGCAGTGAAGAAAGAAAGATAATATCAGAGTAAAATATACCTGATAAATACAATATTCAAGTAGATTAAGAATTCTTTACAATAACAGCTTCACGCTCCTTCCTGAGCCGCTCTCTCTGAAAAAGAGGCGAATACAAGTTAAAACCATTCTTCGGAGTGATCTGATCAACATAGAGAAAAGATTATATTCTCATACAACTAGCTTTCCCCTGAGTGCCAAATGACCGTAAAAAGAGTCATGAAGGGTCACAAAAATGCCGGTCAGGACTCCTTTCACAGTCGAAAGGGATGCAGCAGTGTTTAAGAAAAAATAATTATAAGCATGCTAACAAACATAGAACATGCAGTAACATTAAAGAGGATTATGTAGACCCTTGTAAAATATAGTTTTTCTTTTATTACCAACTAATTCTAGAGAGTGATAAAGGTCAATAAAAGGTGAGAAAACTCATGCACAAACAAAGAAAAAAATTCACACTTTTGTATATCAATCAATCAATTGTATAGTTTTCTCAAATGGTAATGTATAGTTTGCAAGCTGTTAATAGCTAGACAATTATAAACAAACCGTAGCTGCTAGGATTTCAATTTGGGCTATCCATCAAATAGTTTTTTGACCTTCAAATGTAGTAAACATAGCCAATTCAAAGTTGATATATATGCTATAACTACAGCCTAAACCCCATGGTCCAAATACTTCTAAAAGGTACACTCCGGTAAAAATAAAGACATTTAGAATGAAGATAAATGGGAAAAAGTATGATGCACTGCGCAACAAGTGTTAGGACCTCGCGGAAGACTAATCAGAGCTACAGCAATATGACTGTAAAAAACAAGACAGGACTTGGAGACCATTTTTAGAAATTTAAACCATCAAATTTGACATATATACATGCAGCCGGGCCACCAACCATTTTAGAAATTAACAAAAAAATATTATTGCAATGCATGTTTTAAATTTTATTGTTGATGTAGTCACAAGAAGAAAACATTTAATGAATAACTGAGCATAATCAGCAAAACAAAAAAAACTAAGTCTCCTTATGAGACATGAGGGCTCACCAAGCCTTAGACACACTAACCAGGCAAATAATAAGATCATTCACTTTCTAAACTCTCTCCAATGCAGTATGATAAACTTTCTTGAAGGCATCCATTAAAGAAGTAGCGCATACGTAGATGAGATATTGAAGGACCTGATGCATTAATCCCTTTACATCATATGATATAACAGTGCATATGTATTGCATCATCAGCATATAAATATGTTAAAAATTCTATAAAAAAGATGGATACAGGTAAAATATCTAGGACACTGGTGGATAACTAGTCATAAGATCTTTGGGTTACACAAAGCAAAAGAATGTTCCCCTTTATTCTGTTGCTATTAAATATACTGTTCCCATCTTGTCAATAGATATGTAAGCATCATTTTCACCATCGTAATAATTCCATGAGCACTTGTTTGTATTAGACATGTTCCTAACAAAGCTGCATCCAGGTGAATAAAGTGAGTGTCCAGGACTCCATGTTTCATCATCGACAAATATTTACTCCGTCACACTCAGAGTATTCATTCTCTGGATGCAAGCCACTAATCAAACTCTGGAAAGTATTAAGTTCGTCCTCGTCGTGGAAATGAGAGACGAGTGACCAAACTTTAATATCAGAGAGATATGAGTATAGTTCCTTATTTGCTCCTTTAAAGCTTAAATCCAACTTAATGTTCTACCATATCTCCTTAGCCATCGTGTAGTGCACTGACGACCTCCCGCTAATCGTCATTAGAAAATCTTGTGTGTGTGCTTGTGTGTGGGCGTGTGTTGCAGATAAGACTCAAATAACAAATAAAGCACTAATATGATCAACATGATTCATACTTTTGAATCTCCATTCTCCTATCACAAAAATGCAAAGTACTAAATGTATTTTATTCTCATTTTCAGACTAGATGGACCTTTAGACATGCTCATACGCTGAGTGTTGTGCGCAGCGGAAATTTCGGCAGCACCTCCGGTGCGCAAGGTGCACAACAAGAGATTAGATCACAATGAAATTCTCGTTTCTCAAAGGAAACAAGAACCAAAAGCCAGATATCTCATCAAAGTGAGATATCAGCTCTTCCTCTCGTCAGCTCTAGGACTGCGCGTCGAGGGAACCTACAAGCTATTACAAATCACGACAAGAACACAAATTTTACGTGGTTCGGCAAATAGCCTACGTCCACGGGGCAAGGAGGGGGGAGATCTACTATTAGAGGGAGAGAATACAACTAGGGTTTACAATCACTCAAACTAAACCCTTAAACAAACTCTCAAACCTCTCATACAAATATCTCTCTCAAAGGGATACACAAAACCCTAAAAGAAACTACACAAAATCTCCTCAACACAACTACTATTTTTCTCCTGCAGCCGCCAAGAAAACCTCCTCGCGCTGTTGGCTTCTGTTCCGCAGCCGCACAAAGAAAAAAAACCAGAACCTCCTTTTTCGCTCAACCCTAGGAACAATTTCTGTTCCTATTTATAGGAGCAAACATCGCATGTGTGTTGGAGAAAACGTGTGATTGTGACCAAAACGAAATTGGGCTCACACGGAGGTGGAAAAGCCCATGACTCACGCTTAAATGCTTTATGGGTGGACCCCACACCCACGTGATCACAATTCTCCACCTCGGTGAAGTTTTCTCAAAACTGAGCCGACACTGACCACATCAAATGCCTCACTTGTTGCATCCAGTACGCCATGGCAACGGACTAACACTCAACCCAAACCAAATAGTGTCTACTCACCAATCAAACTGAGCCTACACCGACTACACCAAATACCTCACTTGCTGAGACCCAAATGGGAGTGCGAACACTCACCCCAAATGTCGATGTCGCTTACCAAATCGACTGCATCATAAAGACTGCCTACGTATCCTCTTGCCCAAGGAATCAAGCCTTCACGTAGTTCACCCAAATGGCCGCGAACGACCTCAATCCAATAGAAGAGTTCGTAACCCTTCTCCAACATCACGATCAAGTCTACGGCTGATAGCACTTCCAATGGCCCCAAACTGAAATAATCCAAACATCTCCACCTGAGATGAACCAATGGTCATATCCAGACTACATCTATCAGCTGCACTCGAATCAATCAACCTATCATATGCATCCAAAACAACATGATTCCCAATCTGTGTCACATCAGCTGGAATCCCAAATGATGCAGTATGATCTGGAGTCTCCACCCAATGTGGAGTAGCATCACTCTCCACCTGCTGCGATGTCCTAATGATCTGATCACCACTCTCCACTTGCCAAGAGTTAAACGTGACATACCTGCTCAGAACAAAGTCAGAAGCCAATACCTGATAATCAAACACGCCTCTGAATCCCAAATGTGCTATCAGATCAAATCTCACATCCACGATGTGACCAAGTGATGGGTAGCCAAACATCCGACGCAACCCAAAATCTGAAGCAGCTCCACCAGATCCAAAATCTCTACATACAGCAGTCGACAACCTATACATAAGACGACCCAAACATGTCATAGCCTGCACACCAATGCCAATGCTCGACATCAAATGCTGATCCTCTTCCAGAAAGGAACAGCTCCCCAAATCTGTCATCTCATCACGTCGCCTTAAAGTTTCCACACCAATGAAGTGTCTCCAATTGCCGTGAGCTCGGCACAAACGCAAGAAAGAACCCCTATCATAATCAGAACGTCGGGTTACCTTTCTACCAACACACTTCCTTCATCTGTTGCGGGCTTCTAGGACTTCACACCAACGGGACTTGGTTGCAACCCACCAATGCCTAGAGCAATCCCCAACTGCGGAAACCACATACCTATTACCTCCCAATAATGCTCCCTTGGAAGGCCCCAGAATGCCTGAATGAACACCCCTCAGAAAATCCCTCGAATGATGGATAGAAGTGCCAAAATCCACATCGGTCTTCTCGCTCATACCAATGGGTTCACAGGACTTCAAACTGCAGGTCAAAGCACTCCTTAACAACCTATGCACGACATTACCAATCAAATAACCCAGCATCAAACAACACCACAGTCTAGCCGAATCTGATGAAGTCGTCATCTCCCTATCAATCACCGTGCTTCCGAGCAAATAATACAAATTATTCCTTTTGATGCCCTTCATCACAATCATGGACCCCGATGTGACCTTCAAACGTGCATCCACCAAGGTCACTTTATAGCCAGATGCCACCAAAGTTCCTAGTGAAATGATGTTCTTCGACAACTGCGGAACGAACCTCACTTTATCGAACTCCTGAATCACTCCGTCATACATCCGAATACGAACGGTACCAATACCACCAATAGAGCATGCATGTCCATTACCCATGAGCACAACATCCTCTCTTTCTAACTTCTGAAAGCTGGAGAACCAATCCCTCCTAGGACAAACGTGGTATGAAGCACCCGAATCCAACATCCACTCTGTAGAGTTGGCAACACAAACTGACGGTAGTGCAGACAACGAATAGCCCGAAGAATCCGAATCTGAATTGTTGCTACTAATCTTGACAACATTCACCTCTGAAGTTTGTACAGCTTTCCCCTTATTCTTCTCAGCTCGATCTAACTTTGGGCATTCGGCTTTCCAATGTTCATTCTCTTTACAAAAGGCACACTGATTCCTATGAATCCCACGATGTGCACCTCTAGACTGCGACCTTCTGCTTCGGTTTGAACCACGACCATGAACTACTAATGCATCTCCCGATGCCTTCTCGGAGGACTCATCAACACTCTTCCTCAACTCATAATTCACCAACGCTGAGGTCACCTCCTTGCAACTAACAGTAGTTCTTCCATTAATCATAGTTAGGACAAAAGTACCATAATCATCCTCGGGCAACGAACACAAAAGTAGCATCGCCTTGTCTTCATCCTCAACCATGATATCCACATTGGTCATGTCTGAAAGTAGCTTTGTGAAGTTGTTAACATGCTCCCTAATGGAAACTCCCCTCTTCATCTTGAACTGGTAAAACCTCTTCTTCAAGTGAAGCCGATTCTCAATGCTCTTAGTAAGATACTTTTCATTGAGCGTTTCCCACATCTTCTTCGCCGACGTCTCGTTCATCACGTCATAAATAAGATCCGACGTCAAGCATGACCGAATAACTCCACACGCCCTACTATTCATCTTCTTCCAAACCTTAGCTTCCATCTCGGCAGGTTTCTCTTGTAACTCAAGAGTCTCCTCCAAATTCTGAGCGTCCAAGGCGTCCATCACCTGACACCTCCACAATCCGAAATTAATCTTGCCGTCGAATCCACACGTCCTACTATTCATCTTCTTCCAAACCTTAGCTTCCATATCGGCAGGTTTCTCTTGTAACTCAAGAGTCTCCTCTAAATTCTGAGCGTCCAAGGCGTCCATCACCTGACACCTCCATATTGGCCTTCTTGTTTTGATGATGATTTACAAACAATTTACTACTAATGTTGTTTGTCTAGTGCTTGTATTATCTATTCATTGTAGACAAACAACGTAGTTGGAGGATGGATGGAATAGAGCTTCAACGATCATATCCAAAGGAGGTTGGCGGAATGTCGGATTGAAGCCTATACAA